GGGAGAGAGAGGGAGAGAGAGAGAGAGAGAGCGAAAATATCAGACTTGTAACTTGTGTATGAGAGAGAGAGAGAGAGAGAGAGAAGTAAAAGTGGGAGTAGATAGGGTTCTGAATTGGCGTAGTATAAAAATAGATAAGGAAATGACAATAATGGGTTCTGGATTTCGTGGAATTTACGGCAATAGCGTGTGAAAAGGTTTTCAAAAATGTTAGAAAAATGGTCTTGGATTCAATAAAATCACGAAAAGACCATTTTGCTTACATTAGGAAAAAGAAGGGGGAAGGGGGCAATATTCTTTATAATTATCACTGACACACGTGGCGGATCATTAATTAATAATATTAAAATAAATAAATAAATAAATAAATTTTATAAAAATTAATAATCAATCTTTTATGTGAGTAAATATTTATCCACTATTTCTTTATATGAATCAATAATTACTTAAATAAATTCATCTTACTCACTTTATATATATTATTAATTAATAATATCACATTAATTTTGATATTATAATATCATGGTTACATTAAATATTTTTAAAAGAAAGACTCATGCTATTATTATTATTACGGTTCTCACGCAAAATACATTACATAAGTGAAGGCTACGATAACGAACGACGGACGGAAAATTTGCTTTTTCAAAAACTTAACACGTGTCAGTATAATTGACACTTGAAAACTTCTGACGGGAGAGATTTTGAAAACAAAATGGATTGTTTATACTTTCATGGTGAGTCGTTTTAGTAGGATTGGGTGACAAAATTACACAGTAAATCTTTAATTAAAAAAATGTTTTCCTATTTAGTAAATAGATCCCTAAATTCCTTTCTTTTGCATACTATCCGCATCTTAGAACACCAAATATTATGCTTGTTCTCCAATATAACATATTTTACTATTTATCATTAACCACCCATTTATTCTAATATAAATGGATGCAGCTGTGGCCTTATTACAACAATAAATTTCGTTTTCACAAATAAAAAAAAAATTTAGGATCTTAGGGGAATCTCGTGGGGCTGGGATGGTTATGGTTAAGCCAATCCTATTAGCTGGGACGGTTACAAAATTCAACTATTTGCTGTCACTTTCATGATACGATTACAAAATTTTCTTAGGATTATTTATGTGTGATTAATTAGATGCTGACCTGTTAAATTAATCCAACAGTTTACAAATACCAAGGTGAAGTACGGAGTGTATCTGTGAAATCCCTATTTTGTCCAGAAGAATATAATACTTACCATGGCTGTCCTTACCACCATAGAATATCCAACTCCTCCAGAGCATTTTTTGGTTATATTTAAGGATCAAAATGTTCCGAAATCATAATGACAATGAAAAAAAAAATTAAATATTATTTTTAAAATATTATTTGAAATATTCTGAAACAATGTACAAATATGTTGAAACAATTCAAATTATTTTAAAATACCTCGAAACAATGAAATTTTGATTTTTTTCACCGATTTATTTTGAGAATTTTAATCATTGGAATAGTGAAAAAAAAAACTGATTATAAATAACATTGGTCTAAATATGAGAGGTTGCACGTAGTTGAATGAGAAATACACGTTTCATATTGAATTTTATATTTCTGCAACGTACAAATGAATGAGGATCACACGCCGATAAATTTCACAATCTCTCTTGACATTCCCGCCCAAGAAAACTCACAATTATTATTAAGAAAATTTTCACTCATAATCTTTCTGGTTTATCATAATTTCAAAGCCATTTTTTTTATTTTTGGAATTTTTATTGACGCTCTCTACCGGATTAAAGGTGTTAATTACAATGTATTTTACTAAATTGTCTATGATATATTTTAAAAAAAAATTCATTCACACTTTCTCTAGATAGACAAATTTTCAATGAGACTCGTTTTATTTTCTAAATTTTTTTACGTATCAAGATTTGGGCTGATTAAAATTCGATTCGAACTAATTAAAAATTTATTTTTTATGTATTAATATTTGAATCAATTAAAAATTATATTTTTTTATATATTAAAATTTGAGCTGATTAAAATTCTATTCGAGACTCAAATTAAATTTTAATCAAGTCGCATTAAATTTTAATCGGCTCGAATATTGATACATAAAAAAATATAAATTTTAATCAACTCAAATTTTAATACGTAAAAAATAAATTTTAATTAACTTAAATCAAATTTTAATAAATAAAAAATATAAATTTTGATCAACTTGAAGCTAATTTTAATCCGGCCTAACAGCTCAAATTAACTCAAATTTTAATATGTAAAAAAATAAAATTAATCAGTTCAAATCAAAATTTAATTAATACAATAGAGGTAAGGGCAAGACGTATGAGGTATCACCTCTATTTACCTTTTATTTCCTTGTCCCCTTCGACTCAGAAAGAAATGGGGAATCCATGAAGCATTGGAGGAGGGTAGCTGACACTTGAATGATACCTTACTTAATTCAGCTCGGCCAATGGATCCATCTCTCTCTCTCTCTCTCTCTCTCTCTCTCTCTCTCTCTAGGTCAATTGTACTATCATCCGAGCAATCTAAAATTTTAATGTGTTAAAAAAAAAATTTAATATGTAAAAAATAAATTTTAATTGGCTCCAATTTTAATCAAGTTTTATGTAGAAAGATTGTTTGAGGGTTTATGTAAGAAAAATTTTGGTATTTTAAATAATTTATTTTTGTTATAAATGATAAGTTAATGACAAGAGGTATCAGTGATGTTTAAATATAAGTTAGAATGAGTGTTAATGATATTTTTAATAATAAAAAGAGTATTTTTAAAAATATAATAAACTAGAAGGGTGTGACTAAAATTTTCCTTCATTATTATTATTTTTATCAAAAATATATTTCCACACGCAAGCTTCTCTTGTAAGACTTTTTCAACGTGCGCATTCTAGAAAAATCCAGGGAAACTTAAAAAGTTGGAACTCCATAAAATTAATCTTTAGCATACTTTAGTGGTTGAGTCAGAAATAAATTCAAAATCTTCTTATATCTTGTAAGGGCCAACAAGGCAACAATTTTAAATCTTCATGGACATATTTGTTATAAAAAATATATATAATTAGATTATATTAAAGTTTATAAAGTTTAACTAATACACTAATCTAGCTATAATATATATAATCAAAATTAGTACACTTACATTGACGCAGAACAACACAAATAGTAAAATCTAGAAAACCCGAAATCCAATAATAAAAATAATAATTCAAACATTGTGTAATCACAGTTTTCTTAAAACATATTTGCTCTCTCTCGATACTTAAAGGTTGATAAAGCACTATCTCTCAAAATAGAACGAATTTTGTTCTTGAAGATGCAGTACTTAATCTCTAAAATTCCAACAGACACAATTTTATGTTTATACTTGATTCAAATTTAAAATAATAATGCAGCAATTTGTAGAGAGAGAGATAGAAGAAAGACTGAATACTCAATTCAGTATTTTGGATAAGTAAGAGAACTAGAATGAGAGAGCAATTCTTGAATTGTTTAATGGTATGTTTTAAGAGTGCAAGAAATCTCATATTTATAAACTCACTAGCGATTTTTTCATAAATGGTGTAAACCATATGTAATAGTACATTTTAGTCCAAATGGTATCAATGATGATTTTATAAAAAAATTGTGACTATTTGTAATTGTGTCTTTTAACTAAAAAGTGTTAATGGTGGTTTTATGAAAAGATGTAACTATTTGGTTTAATGTCTTTAACTTAAAGTCACTAATTTTGAATTAGTAACATTTCATGTCATATTCACTTCACACCTTTTCAATTACTCCCAAAAGTCACAAAGACTTTAACAATTTCTCATTCAATACTTAATAATTTTTTAAATAAATACACCATTATTTCCAAATATATTCTACCTCAGCTTAAACCACGGTGACATTCGCTGAACTCAAAAAAATAATCCGTACAAATGTAAACAATTAATAGAAAAGAAAAACTCCATAATGTCAATCTTAGGGATGGGGTGGCTGTCTCTCTCCCTCTCCCCTAGATCGATTTCAATCATAATTAAGATTTTAAAGAAAGTGAATTAGGTATGGTCATAAAGTAAGTGGAGGTAAAATTGATTCTAATCATAGTCAAGATTTTATTCTAATGAATGGTTTTCCTTTATAAGATACTAATGGCCCATACCAATCAAATAATTAATAAATTCTACTTTGCAAAGTTCCTAACTGTGCTTGAGTGAGTCATGCAACATCGTGTTCATGGATACTAACAAAAAATGGGAAATAAAATAAATTATTTTCATTATTTTAAGTTTCTAACGAGTACAAGTCATCTTTTATTTTGTTTAGTTAATTAATCATGTAAAATACTTAGACAATAATTCGATTTATTTATTTGAGAGTTAACATGCATAATATGTGAATCATAAATTCATAATTACTGCCCATTTTCTCTCATCTAAACTAGAGGTGGCAATCTTAGCTCATTATCCATTAATACGTACAATCTGCCCATAAATTAATGGGTTAGGTAACTATATTGATTAATATGGGTTCTAAATAGGTTAATATGAACAAATAGGTACCCATTTGGTTAAGTATTTATCTTTTTATTAAATAATAAAAGTAATAAAATTAAATAAATATACTAATATACTAAAAAATACACATTATTATACCAAAAAATACATAGATATACACTAATACACCACCCATAACCCATTGGTCAACCCATAATCCACATGTCGACCCACGAAGGGTTATGGGTTGACCCACGATCCGTGGGTCAACCCATAACCCTTGGNTGAGTATTTATCTTTTTATTAAATAATAAAAGTAATAAAATTAAATAAATATACTAATATACTAAAAAATACACATTATTGTACCAAAAAATACATAGATATACACTAATACACCACCCATAACCCA